TAAGCCGGATTAAGCGGGATTAAGCGGGATTAAGCAGGATTAAACGGGATTAAGCCGGATTTTGCCGGATTTCGGACCAGGGCAAGAACAGAATTTGACCTCCCAGGAGTTGCATCCGAACCCTCCCGCTCGCCGTGGCTCGGCCACCGGCCCGGCGCCGCCATCGCCGCCCGCGGCGGCAGCTGGGGCCCCGCGCGCGCGCGGAGGGGGGCCAGACGGCCCAGCTGGCCCGCCGGCGCGCGGAGAAGCAGGAGGAGGAGGAGGAGGAGGAGGAGGAGGGAGGGAGGATCGAGGAGGGAGGAGGGAGGTGGGAGGAGGAGGAGGAGGAGGAGGAGGCGGAGGCGGAGGCGGAGGAGGAGGAAGACCGAGGATCTAGGATCCATGTTCTTGGAAGTCTGGGTGCCGTCTGGAACCTCCTGGAGCGCCCTCGCGGCCACGGCCAAGTCCGCCTCGAAAATCTGGTCCGAACGCATCCGTGAGGGGTCTTAGAGATCGATGCTGGAGAACAACGCGGAGGACGAGGAGGTGGACGAGGATGAGAAGGAGAAAGATGAGGACAAGGATGGGAATCAAGGGACGAGCATCGGGGAAGTCGCATTGGACGTGTGTTCGCCTATTCTTGGTTTCCCGCGGGTCCCTGTCGCCGCGGCTGGATCCGCGTCGCAATTCTCGTCAGAATGCGCCCCAGGACAGGTCCAGGGTCGACTTCTGGGGTGAGAAAGAGAGAAGGAGAAGGGAGGGGCGAGGAGGGAGGAGGGAGGAGCGAGGAGGGAGGAGCGAGGAGGGAAGAGGAGGGAGGAGGAGCAGGATAGGGAATCGAATGAGCCAGGCCGGGCGAGTCGGAGGGCCCCACGTACTCCAACTCTCCTCCCCACAACGTAAGAATCAACCGTAGCACACCTTGATAATATCGGGATTGGAACGCGCTCCCACATCGCGAACGGAAGGCGCTTGCGCGCGCTCCCGCTTCCGACGACTTGGCGAAGACGAAACGACGCGGACCGCGCAGGGGCGGGAGCGGCAAAACTTTTGATGGGCACGGCGAAGACGAAGCATGCGTCGCGCTGACACAGCATTGACACTTTCACCCACTGCGCGGCGTTTGGGCGAGGTCGGCATTTCGCCCGTTTTCGCGCGGCCCCGCTGCCGCTGGCGCTGCCATGCGCGTCGAGCGAACCATCCGCCGCGCCCGCGCTGGAACGCGCACGGAACTTGGGCGAGGGCCACAAGTCGCCCACTCTCGCAGTCCCCCCAAATTGGCAGGTGCCGAATATGCGCCGCGTTGGGGCGGGAGCGCCATTCTGAAGCGAAGTCTGCGCGGCGCCGAAACGAGAGCGACATTCTCGCCCCCTCGTGCGTCGACGAAGACGCGGGCGAAAAATGTGCACCGCGCCCTAGTGGGAGCTCAGGGCCCAAGAAGCGCCCAAGAGGCCCCTAAGACGGCCCAAGAGGCCTCCAAGAAGTCCTCCAGGAAGGCCCGAAGAGGCCAAAGTCGTTGATTTGCCATAGGTTCTTGAAGGATTTTGGTGTTTGCTTCGAAGCGGCCTTCCGACGGCCCTATTGGGCCCCCAAGATCGCCCCAACATCGCCCAAGAGACACCCAAGACGGCCCCAGGAGGCTCCCAAGACGGCCCCAAAAGGCCCCAAGACGGCCGAAGAGGCCTCCACGACGCCCAAGATGGCCTTGAAGACGACCCTGCAGCGCCCCAAGAGGGCGCCAAGACGGCCCAGAGAGGTTTCCAAGACAGCTTCCGACGGCGTCAGACGGGTCAAGAATGCCGTAAGACGGCCGAAGAGGCCCCCGAGAAACCCCCAAAGACCCTCAAGAGGCCCAAAGAGCCCCCCAAGAAGCCTGCACGAGGCCCCCAGGAAGCTCCCAGAAGGCCTCAAGAATGACCCCAGAAGCTCCCAAGAGGTCTCCTGATCCTTCTACTCATCCTCCTTGTTCCTCCCTCTCCGCATCCTCCTCTTCCTCCCCAACGGGTTTCCGAAGGGCTTCCACAACGGATGCGGGAACGCATGGTCCAATAGCACGTTTGGCCGCAGCGGCGTATCCTAAAAGACAGGGGGTGGCGGTGAGTCGCCGTAGGCGTCTTCGATATTATGCATATGTATACACACAAACGCAAACACTTACACACGTACATGCAATGATGTTGGGAGTCACGAAAGAGCCTTCCGGGCTGAGAATCCAAAACGTCCAACTGAAATCACAAGGTTTGCGGGGTCAGCTCGGAGGCTTCCAGAGGCCCCCCCAGAGGTCCCAGGGGGAGGGACAACGACGAGGAGCAGACGAAGGACGAGAGGAGGTAGGAGTAGACGTGTTTCCGGAGGGGGGCGATGACGAGGAGGAGAAGGAGGAGGAGGAGGAGGAGAAGGAGGAGGGCGACGAGCAGATGCAAATTGGGAGGAGGAGGCGAAGGAGACTCGTACTGGGAAGAGGAACAGGAGGAGGACAACAACCAGCAGAAGTAGACTGAGAAGAGGAGATGCTGGATTTTACTCTGACGCGTGACGCAATCACCACGGCGAGTTTGTAGCTATGTAGCTGGCGCTGCCCTAGGAGAGGTCTTGAGATCCCATCTTTCCATGCTATGTGCGCGCCAGGCACAAAATCTGGCTCAGTGGCTGCACAAACGGCAAGACAACCGTTTAGGCCAAAAAGTCCTTCTCATAGAGGACACCATTGGACGCCCTAGACGCGTCGGCCAGCCCTGACCAGATGTCATAGATTCTGCTCACGCGAGGGATTTGCAAGTCGCAAGCAGGCACAAGCCTGACAAGGAAATGGGGATAAGAGAAAAGAGAGGGAGTGAGGTGGAACGAAAGAAGCAGGAGAACGGGAAGGAGGGAGGGAAGAGGTCTGCCCGACACCGCCTGTGGAGGCCTCTCAAATTGGAGCCGAGTGGATGGGGTCGGAGGATCGCGCCGCATCGCCAGCGTGGAGAAAGTCGGGCTCTGCATCGAATTGCATCCCCGATGCATCGGCGATGCAGCGCGATCCACCGACCCCGCCCAGTCGGACCCCACTAGGAAGGCCTGAAGCCGGCGACCGAGCCACTGACGAAAGGCTCCCCAGAACATCCACCAGAGGCCTCCCAGAAGCCCTCAAGCAGTCCCGCGTCAGTCCCCAACAGCCCCCCTTGCAGCCCTAAATTCCTTCCTTCCTCCCTCCGCCTTCCTCCTTCCCACCTCCGCTCCTCATCATCCTTCTCCTCATTCCCCTGCTTCACCTCCTTCTCCTCCTCCTTCTTCTCCTCCACCATCGCGAGAGTGAAAAAACACAAGGCCACTTCAGCTCCAACCTAGCCCACAGAACGCCCTGGACGCCTCTACTCCGCTGGGGCTCGGCTGAATGGCGTCAGCCACTCGAACAAAGCTTCAATGCTGGCCTAAGAAACATTTGTGCGAATCAAATACGCTGGTTTCCAGAATTGCGATCCAACAAGAAAGCAGCACTGACAACAATGATAACGACGAATCGAACCGCGGCATCCCTCGTCAGCCACAGACCTGATGGCAATGATAGACCGCCCGCCCACCCCCCCTCTCCGACTTGTACACCCTGCGAAATGCTTAAGAAATCATGGGTTAAGAAATTCATAGTCTCAGAACTTGCATAACAGCCCAACATTGTTTATCAAAATCTTAGAATTTACATTGAAACGTTAAGAATAATCGAGACTCTGGCCGAAAACTTAGGTTTTCTTAAGCATCGCCCAAGGTGTACGCGAGAGTCACTGCCCCGTAGCTCGAGTCATGGGTTGCTGCTAAGAGGATGAGGTGAAGAGGCGGCGACGAGGAAGCGAGCGGCCCAGAGCCTTGAAGGGTGATGGGTGACCAAATCTGCCTAAAATGCGCAATTCAAGCGTGCCGCTGGCGAGATCTGGACTCCAAAGGTTGGAAAAAACAAATGACAAGGCTAAGCACTGGCCACGAAAAAGGGAAAAGGGCAAAGCCCACAATGCAGCACAGACGTCGCAGAGGACGGCGCTGAAGCTTAACACGAGAAGGATATCCGCCACCGCGCCCTGAAGCACGAGTTGGAGTGTCTTCAGGTCCCTCTGAGTTCTCTGTATTCAGCCCTGCGAATATTCTTTAAGTGACCCAGAACCCGGAATTCCAGGCGCTCCCGGGCGCTTCGTGGCGCTCTTGGAGTCCCCGCGTGACTTTTCGTTTCGAGGGGCCAAGAGCGCGTTGTTCGAGACATGAATGTCCAACACGGTTTTTAATGGCCCAGGGGACCGTCCTGTAGCCTTTTTGGGCGCCTCTTGGGCCATCTTGGAAGCCCTGGAGGGCCGCCCAAGAGGCTAAAATCATCAGAATTCTTTGCTTTCTTGAAATGGTGCTCGCATTACCACCTTTTCGGTCTCAGAGCGTCCAAGACGGTCCAAGAGGCGCCCAAGATCGGCCCAAAACGGCCCAAGAGCCCCCAAGATGCGCCCAAGAGGCCACCCCGACTGCCCCAAGAGGAGCCCAAAATGGGAAGCACGAACTTACATTTCAAGCCCTCCGCCCCTAGATGGCCCCAAGATCCTCCCACAAGCCTCCGAGGTGTGTCCAAGAGGCCCCAAGAGGCCCCGAAAGGCTCAAATCAGACCCCAAGAAGCCCCCAAGACGCCCCCAAAACCACCTCCAAGAGGATCCGAGAGGCATCCTGAGAGATCCTCGCAGGCATCCAAGAAGTCTCTGACCTACAACCCAGGCACGGTGGCGGCATGGGCCGAAGGCCACAAGATCCGCCGCCCCCTCGGGCTTCGGCCCGTCCCGCTGGCCATCCGAAAGGCCACACAAGGCCGCGTAAACCACTCCAACGTCCACAAAAAATTCTCCAAGGCGGCTCAAGGTGGCTTCTAAGATGGTCACATTGGCCCAAGATGGCCTCCACGATGGAACAAGATGGTCCAAGATGACCTCCGTCCAAGAAGCCTCCAAGTTCGCACGGCCCAAGATGGCTCTAGGATGGCCTAAGACTGGCCAAGAGGCCCCCAAGAGGCCTCCAAGACGTCCTCCAGAAGGCCCGAAAGGGCAAAAAACATGGATTTTCCCTAGGTGTTTGAAGGATTTTCGCATTTGCTTCTTTTTCAGCTCTCCGACGGCCCAAGACAGCCCAAGAGGCCCCCAACATCGTCCCAAGAGCGCCCAAGAGGCCTCCAAGATGGCCCTATGACGGCCCCCAAGAGGGCCCCAAGACGAGCCCAAGACGGCCCAAGATAGCCCCAAAGACGCCGAAGATGGCCTCAAAGACGGCCAAGATGGCCTCCAAGATGCCTCCAAGACGGCCAAGAAGGCCTCTAAGACAGCGAAGATGGCCTCAAGATGCACCCAAGATGGCCCCAGATGGCCTGAAGATGGCCTTCGACTGCCCAAAACGCCCGCAAGAGGCCTCCAAGACAGCCCAAGACCCCTCCAAGACGTCCTCCAGGAAGGCCCGAAAGCTCGGAAACCACCTGGTCCGATAGCTCGCCAGACTCCATGTTCCCCGAAGGCTTTCGAGACCCACCCAGGGAACGCGTGGCCCGATAGCTTGGCCAAGCTCAAACCCAACTTTCGGCCACGCAGGCGCTTCCAAAAAGGCAGAGGGCGGCGGTGACTCGCCATAGGCGTCTTCGATCCGCCGCCCCCTGTTGGCTTGCCAGGGTGCCCGGCATGCTGGATCCTTTCGATGTTGGTTTTTCGCGTTTTTTCCAAAAGAGCTCCCCCTGGGGCCTCCCGGAAGGGCCCGCAAAAGGTGGCTGCAAAGGGTTTTTCGGCTTCAGACGGCTTCAAGATGGCCTCCAGGATAGCCAAGATGGCCCAAGATGGCCTCCAAGTTCGCCCAAGATGGTCCAAGATGGCCTCGAAGACGGCACAAGAGAGTCAAGGATGCCTCCAAGTTCGCACAAGAAACACCTCAGACGGCCCAAGACGGCCCCAGAAGCCTCCAAGAGGCCTCCAAGACGACCCACGAGGCCTCGAAGAGGTCAAAATTCTAGATGCTCCTACGTTTTGTGAAGGATTTGGGCTTCTGCTCCAAGACTGCCCAAGAGGCCATCAAGATCGCCCCTAGAGTGCCCAAGAAGCCTCCAAGATGGGCCCAGGACGGCCCAAGAGGCCCCCAAGACAGCCCCAAGAAGGTCCCAAGACGGCCCAAGAGGCCCCAAGACGCCCACGATAGCCTCCTAGACGGCCAAGATGGCCTCCAAGATGCCTCCAAGACGGCCAAGATGGCCTCCAAGACGGCTGAGATGGCCCCAAGATGCACCCAAGACGGCCCAAGATGGCCTCAAAATGGCCTTCGACTGCCCAAAAGGCCCGCAAGAAGCCTCCAAGACGGCCCAAGACCCCTCCAAGACGTCCTCCAGGAAGGCCCGGATGTTCCTTAAGCTTCTGAAAGATGTTAATTAGCTTTTGATCCTTTTCCGCTCTTCGACGGCCCAAGACAGCCCAAGCGGCCCCCAACATCGACCCAAGAGCGTCCAAGAGGCCTCCAAGATGGCCCCATGACAGCCCCAGAGGCCCCCAAGACGGCCCCAAGAAGGGCCCAAGACGGCCCAAGAGGCCCCAAGACGCCCACGATAGCCTCCTAGACGGCCAAGATGGCCTCCAAGATGCCTCCAAGACGGCCAAGATGGCCTCCAAGACGGCTGAGATGGCCCGAAGATGCACCCAAGACGGCCCAAAATGGCCTCAAGATGGCACAAGACGGCCCTATAGGCCCGCAAATGGCCTCCAAGGCGGCCCAAAAGCCCTCCAAGACGTCCCCCAGGAAGGCCCGAAAGGGCAAAAATCATTGATTTTCCTATGGTTTCTGAAGGATGTTGGCATGTTTTTCTTTCCAGCTCTCCGACGGCCCAAGACGGCCAAAGAGCCCCCAACATCGTCCCAAGAGCGCCCAAGAGGCCTCCAAGATGGCCCCATAACAACCCAAGAGGCCCCTAAGAGGGCCCCAACAAGACGCCAAGACGGCCCAAGATGGCCCCCAAGACGCCCAAGATGGCATCCAAGACGGCCAAGATGGCCTCCAAGATGCCTCCAAGACGGCCAAGAAGGCTTCCAAGACGGCGAAGATGGCTCCAAGATACACCCAAGACGGCCCCAGATGGCCTGAAGATGGCCTTCTCCAAGACGGCCCAAGACCCCTCCAAGACGTCCTCCAGGAAGGCCCGAAAGCTCGGAAACCACCTGGTCCGATAGCTCGCCAGACTCCATGTTCCCCGAAGGCTTTCGAGACCCACCCAGGGAACGCGTGGCCCGATAGCTTGGCCAAGCTCAAACCCAACTTTCGGCCACGCAGGCGCTTCCAAAAAGGCAGAGGGCGGCGGTGATTCGCCGTAGGCGTCTTCGATCCGCCGCCGCCTGTTGGCTTGCCACAGGGGTGCCCAGCGTGCTGGATCCTTTCGATTTTGGTTTTGGTTTTTTCCAAAAGAACTCCCCCTGGGGCGTCGGCCCGTCCCGCCGGCCACCCGGAAGGGCGCGAAGAGATGCATAAAAGGGGGATGCAAGGGTTTTTTTGGCTCCAGACGGCTCCAAGATGGCCTCCAAGATGGCCAAGATGGCCCAAGATGGCATCCAAGATGGTCCAAGATGGCCTCGAAGACGGCCCAAGAGAGTCCAGGATGCATCCAAGTTCGCAGAAGAAACACCTCAGACGGCCCAAGACAGCCCCAGAGGCCTCCAAGAGGCCTCCAAGACGGCCCAAGACGCCTCGAAGAGGTCCTCCAAGGTCCTCCAGGACGGCCCGAAGAGGTCAAGATCCTTGATTTTCCTTTGGGTTTCAAGGATTTTGGCATTTGCTCCTTTTCGGATTCCGACGGCCCAAGACTGCCCAAGAGGTCATCAAGATCGCCCCAAGAGTGCCCAAGAAGCCTCCAAGATGGGCCCAGGACGGCCCAAGAGGCCCCCAACACGGCCCGAACAAGGCCCCAAGACGGCCCAAGAGGCCCCCAAGAAGCCCCAGATGGCCTCCAAGACTGCCAAGATGGCCTCCAAGATGCCTCCAAGATGGCCAAGATGGCCTCCAAGACGGCTGAGATGGCCCGATGATACACCCAAGACGGCCCAAGATGGCCTCAAGATGGTCTAAGACTGCCCAAAAGGCCCGCAAGAAGCCTCCAAGACGGCCCAAGACCCCTCCAAGACGTCCCCCAGGAAGATCCGACAGGGTTAAGTTCATTGATATTCCTATGGTTTTCGAAGGATTTAGGCATTGTCTTCTTTTTCAGCTCTCCGACGGCCCAAGACGGCCCAAGCAGCCCCCAACATCGACCCAAGAGCGCCCAAGAGGCCTCAAAGATGACCCCATGACAGCCCAAGAGGCCCCAAAGAAGGCCCCAACAAGGCCCCAAGACGGCACAAGAGGTTCCCAAGACGCCCAAGATGCCCAAGATGGCCGTCAAGACGGCTAAGGTGGCCCGAAGATGCATCCAAAAAGGCCCAAAATGGGCTCAAGATGGCCTGAGATGGCCCTATAGGCCCGCAAGAGGCCTCCAAGACGGCCCAAGACCCCTCCAAGACGTCCTCCAGGAAGGCCCGACAGGGTTAAGTTCATTGATTTTCCGTTGGCTTTCGAAGGATTTGGGCATTTTCTTCTATTCAGCTCTCCGACGGTCCAAGACGGCCCAGGAGGCCCCCAACATCGACCCAAGAGCGCCCAAGAGGCCTCCAAGATGGCCCCACGACAACCCAAGAGACCCCCTAAGAGGGCCCCAACAAGGCCCCAAGACGGCACAAGAGGCCCCCAAGACTCCCAAGATGGCATCCAAGATGCCTCCAAGACGGCCCAAGATGGCCTCCAAGACGGCCAAAATGGCCCCAAGATGCACTCAAGACGGCCCAAGATGGCCTCAAGATGGCCTTCGACTGCCCAAAAGGCCCGCAAGAGGCCTCCAAGACCGCCCAAGACCCCTCCAAGACATCCTCCAGGAGGCCCGAAAGCTCCGAAACCACCTTGTCCGATAGCTCGCCCGACTCCATGTTCCCCGAAGGCTTTCGAAAACCGCCCAGGGAACGCGTGGCCCGATAGCTTGGCCAAGCTCAAACTCAACTTTCG